TAAAACCTACGGACCAATATGGGAGCCTTTACCAAGTAGCAGCTCTGGGATGAACTTGGACTGGATTGCCATGGCTACCCCTTATTCCAGTTAAAGATGTCCCAATGATATGAGTAGTCAATATCTGGCTGAGAGAAATACATCCACATTCTCTAAGCCTGTGAACCTGGAAGTTTTTTCCTCCATTGGGCAAAGGGACAAGACTGTGCATACTCATCAACACTTGTCACCTGACTCAGCTTCCCAGCCACTGAGCGCATGTTCCAGACCCCCTATATGTTGTCCACCAATACCTGTCATGTACTTATCTATCTACACCTTTTATTTTGTCTTATTCAATATATTTACCCCCAGACAATATTCTGGCCAACTAAGTGTTTTTTCTTCTTCTTCAGACATGCCATGTTTGTTTCATCTCTGGAAATGTTGTGTGTTATATTGTCTCCTCTGCCTGCTGGTGATCTCATAGCAAGCCTTCCTCCTCAAAACCCTTACCTTCTTAGACCTTGTCAGAATCTCTAAACTAGAGCATCTGCATTCTTCTTTTATATTATTCTCTAACAAACATCTCTTCCCTGTGCCTGTCACTCTGGGTCTCTTATTGGTCACTCTCTGTCTCTCTACCAAAAGATGAGTAATTGTGCACCTGTACTTCTTATTCACCCCTTTATCTCTGGCAGATGATAAATAGTTCTTAGCTCTTGGGAAACTTCCATATCCACATCTGTAGAACAAATTAGTGACTGCAGTAACAAAGGAATCATTTTAATCTGCTTAAGGGCTATCATATCCCACCATAAGAGAAGACTGTCACATGGCTGGGGTGTGACTCCATTTGTAGAATGCTTATTCAGCATTGAGTTCAATGCTCAGCACTATTGTGGGATATTTGTATACTGTGTGGAAATGTAGTACTCTTAGTTGTGTAATAAAAAGCCGAACAGTCAATAGCTAGTCAGGAGGTATAGGCAGGACTTCCAGACAGAGAAAGGAAACAGAAGTTATAAGATGGAAAAGAGATAAAAGCCAAAGGTAGATTAATAAAAAAAAATTGGTTAATTTAAGTTGTAAGAGCTAGTGGGACAAGCCTAAAATAAGGCTGAGCTTTCATAATTAATAAGAAGTCTCTATGTCATTATTTGGGAGCTGGCTAGCAGGACAGAGAAAAACTCATTATACAGCACCATATTAATACAGGGGGATGGTACTAGACTGTAATTCCAGCTCTCAGGAAACAGAATCAGGAGGAATAGAAAATCTAGGTAATATGTGGTATATAGAGAGTTCAAGGCCAACATGGACTACATGAGACCCTGTCTCTAAAAACAGTAAAGGAAACACGGGATTCAAAAGAAAAAGAGTACCACAGTCAATTCCAATACACTTTTTTTTCCTGTTCTGAAAGTAATGATTCCAGAGCCAAGGGGTTCCCATCCTACTTATGTGGTTACTACAGTATCTTTTCCTGAATGATTTACAGGCAAGCAAAGCTGTCATAGTCCATATATCTTAATGATACAATGATTCTTCAGAAACTCTACTCATGAGTCATCTATAGTGACACGCATAGAATACAAACAGGCCTAATTCCTGTGAACTGAGACGTCTGGTGTTTTTTCTTCAGCAGACAAATGCATGCTGCCAGCACACTTTGGTGACACTGAAACCCCCTGTTTCTGTGTGATCTACCCTAGGAACCTTTGGAAGTCTTAGAGGTGACTGATATATGCAAGAGCTATTCCTATTGACATATATTCCATGAATAGAAGAGGAAACAGTGAAAATAAACCTATGTTAAAAACAGTGAGTGAGTGTGTGAGTGTGTGTGTGTGTGTGTGTGAGTGTGTGTGTGTGTGTGTGTGTGTGTGTGTGTGTGTGTGTGTGTGTGTGCATGCATGTGCCCACATATTTGGGCACCAGAAAGCAACATCAGGTACCATCTTCTGGACTATCATCCACTAAGAGTGTCTCTCAATGTCCTGGAGCTTAGCAATTAAGCTAGTGTGTCTGGCCAGTAAAACCCAGGGATCCTCCTGCCTCTGCCTTCTCAGCACTGGAATTACAAACATTCATCAGCACAACCAGCATTTTGACATGGGACTTGGGACTAGAACTCAGGTCTATGCAAGGCAAGGGCTTCACTGGTTGATCGTCCTCCTTCCTTAGCTGGGATTTTATTATAGAGAACTTAGAGTTGTGCAAAGAGCAGATTTGAAACTAGATTGCTTTCCTAAGAAAACCATGAGAGAAAAAAGCCAAACCTGAAAGTTTTTCAGCTTTACATGCTCTTATCTGCTGTCACTCCTGTGAAAATCTTTACTAGGACCAACAAAAGCCACTGCTTAGGGGACAGATGAAGAATACCACCTGTGTTCATTTCACCAACTCAGTCAACTCACACAACAAGTGTACATGGCAATCCCTTGTGCCCCATGCAAACAGCTGAGTATCTAGACAGGGGTATTTTCTATTCCAAGACAGATGAGTGCTGCATTTAATGGTTCCACTCATCTATCCTGTAAGGCCCTTCTTCCAGGATAAACTCTGTCCTCATACTGGCATTTCCATGTTCCTCTTACTTAAACATCTGAAAACTGGATTAATTATACTTGTACTTTAGAAAAAAAATAATTCCTTTGCTGAATGAACCATGAAAACAAAATGCACTGATGATCTTTAAATGACCCAGAAACCAAGATAATTATAGTTGTAATTAATTATATAACATGATGTCTCCTAGTAGTTTTATAGAGGTCTAACCCAGCAAACTCTGAGGTCAGAATATTTGAATTTGGAGACTTTTCACCCACACAGAGCAGGGCAAGCCTGTGCCAGGCTCTAATCTTTCTCTCGGCATATGTGACCTGAGGAGAAATAGTCATTTAACCTGTTCTTATCAGTCATGCTCATCTGTGAAATGGGGATGGAAGTGCAGGATCATCTCAAGGGGACACTGTGTAGTGTCACACGTTAGTGACAGGAAGTGAGATGATTTCACATGGAGAACATCAGAGGAATCTCAGTCAAGCTGGGTTGCTGGTGAGATGACACAGGGAGCCAGAAACTATGGCTGCAATACTTCATGGATCAGGACAGCATCTTCAGTTGCTTTCATTGTATCTCACACCCATAGATATATGTGTGTGTATATATATATATTCACACACACACATAGAATATATACGACCTTATAATAAAAATATCGCACCTCCTGTGTACTGAATAGCCACATCAGCTATTGTTTCAGCAAGTGTCATAGACATGCACAGCAATGGAAAATAAAAACAGGCATCATGGTGGTGCTAGGCACAGGATCTGATTTTCTGATTTACGGGTAGATGGCCAGATAAGGCTCTAATTCTCTCGTCTCCATCTACCAAATGCTTGCCCTTCCCTTTTTTATGTGAGCAAAGACATGACGTACAAAGTTCTCCTCTCTCCAGTTTATCTTATATCTCAGAACATTTGCCTAAAGTAGTATCAAATAACATTTAAAAATATTGCTCATGTCATTACAAAGTGGGTTACAAACGATACCTTAATGCCGAGGAGACAGAAAGAACATAAAAGAGAAGCCAGGAGAGCTCTTTTATTTTGTTTTCTGCTGTATTTATTTATAGGCGAGACACTCTCAGGACAAACTTTCCCAGATCAACAGAGGAGCGCACATCTTAAAGTCAGCTCCTTTGTGCCTTTCAGAAGGAGCTGAGGGATTGATGAGGACTCACTCACGTCTATGGGATATAAGCAAGCACAGTTAAGACACCAAAACAGAACATCTCACTCCAAAGAAAACATTTTTGTCAGATATTTTGACAGAACTCAATTCAGGCCACACTTTGATGAAGTAGTGATTTGATGGTCAATAATTCAGCTCTGCCCTCTTCCTAGAGAACTAAGGTTCCTACATATTCCCCTTTGACTCACCCTAAGCACACATTACTATTAACATTACTAAAACTATATTAGATGCTGTGTACCTTGAGACCACTAAGACAATAGAAGCAGTTTTAGAATGAGGCAGTCCTAAATTTGGCCATTATTATCATTTGAATCTGAAACACCCCCCACAGGCTCACATGCATGAGCAATTGGACTCCAAATGATGGCACTGTTTGGAAGGGTTGTAGAACCTTTGAGATATGGAGCCTAGCTGGAACATTTAGGCTACTAGGCACAGGCCTTTAATGTGTAGCCCTGCCCTGATTCATTGTTTAAGACTGAGAGTCCACGAAACTTTGATCCAAGACAGGTCCTTCCTCTCTTAAGTTTGTTTTGTCTGGCATTCTCTCAGTTCAGCAAGAAAAGCACAACACAAATGTAGACTTTGCCATTTAGGAGTCAGCAATTTGGCCAGAGAGGTTATTTTAATTCCTTGGGCTTCAGAGACATTATGACAGGGCCTAGATAATGACATTAATCTTCCAAGGTTATAGAAAAGATGAAGCAGGATAATGAATTAAAACGTGACTAGTTAATATATGTGTGATACAGTAGGAATCAAAGTATTACTAGCTCTAAACTAAAATATTAAATAAAATTAAATAAAACAAAAACAAACCCCATGGGAATTTTCTAGAAAGTAATTCACAGTCTCGTCTTTGTTTCCTTTATACACTCCATCAGTTTTTTATGCTCATAACTCTACCTTTAAATGTCACAGAAATACACTCACTCTCACAAAGCCACACAAGCATTTCCTCACCAAAATAGGTATCATATATGCCATTTTAATTTACTATAGGCTCCATGTAGACCTGTCGATTACTAAGGCTTTCAAATACAACTGTAGGCAAGTGATAGATAAGACATATTCTTTATGGACTGAAAGCCCTGTGGTAAGTGGCTACTTCAAATAAAAAATCATGTTGGGTGAGATGGCTGAAACTTCATAACAATAACTGTGAGGGTCCCTATAACATGTTAATGGTGAATAGACAAAGCCATTAAATATTGCTATGGACTGAGGACATAGCTCAGTCCATAGTGTCTTTACTTACCTTGCACAAAGTCCTGTGTTCTATCCCCTGTGCACGATGGTATATGCCTGGAACCCCAGCACTCTGGAGGTGGAGGCAAGAGGATCAGACGTTCAAGGTCATCTTTGGATATATAGTAAGATTCCAGCACAGGCTATAAGCATAAGACTCTGATGTGGTATATAATGTAGACAAAGGAGGGGATGTTTAATACTTTCTGGAAGATTCTCACAGAACTTTTGGTTTTTTATTGTTTTTGTTTGTTTGATGTCCCTATAAACTACTCTTCCTGTCAGGTGAATGTGAGAGTAATAATGAAGAGAAGGCCGAGGTCCATGAGAACTAGGTACATCTCTTGAATAAAAATAAAAATATACATATTGGCCTGAGACAAAAATCCATGAAATACTGTTATACCTTATCATGACACTTAAATGTTAATCAATTATTCAGATCAGAAAAATAATCAAGCATAACTAGCAAACAGAAACACATCTATTCCAGGAGGAGCTGCACAGAACACATATACTACACTGTTATCTGCCACACACACAGTGTCAAACACTGCAAGAAAAACACACTGCAAATGCCCCTGACAGGGGAGTAGGAAGACAAAGGGCTTGGGAAAAGACAGGAAACGAAAACCCATGGAGCAGTGAATGCATAACTCACACTGAAGCCCATATTTGCCGCCTCCTCAAATTCATGCTGCACAATACTTGCCCATGGCTTTGGAAAAGCATCAGTGAAGGTAGCTGTGGTGGCAACTACCTGTGATCCCAGCCCTTGGGAGGGGAAAGCAGTAAGATCGGATCATTTGCTAAGAGGTAAAAGCCCTCCTCAGTGGCCCCTTCCCTCCATTCCGTCATAGCTGCTGAAAAGCTCACGTCGTCTCTGGGTCTGTGTCTGCCTCTCCATGTGTGTCTCAGAAAGATACTTTATCTTTCAAGTTTTATGGCTCATATCTGTGACTAAAATATCATTTATGACAATTCCCATCTGCTAGGCTTCAAAAGTGATATAGTTTCACTGCAAAGGGTTGCTACCAGGGACCCAAGTTGTAAGCCAAGATTTGAGTGGAATCATAATGCAACTAGATTCTCTCAGAAGAAGCTGAGCACCGTTAAAAGGCATTCATTTCTTTCCAGAGAAAGCTGTTTGGTGAACATGGCCAGCTCCAAGTGCAGCTCCTGGTGGCTCCCCCTGGAGCATTAAAAGGGTGAGGCCCTTGCAGCCCAGACAGCCCAGACCCCATTTCTTATTCTGGGTGAAAAAGCAAAAAGCCTGGTCCTTCTGTCTTGTCTGACAGTTATAGACTAGCGCTGCACCTTATTAAAGATTAAGGCTTGCCTGGGCACTCTCTTTCGGTCATCTCCTGTTCACAGTCCAGCATTTATTACAAAGGGGTCTGGAGATTAACACCATCCATTCTGCCTGGCGAGAAGGCTGATCAGTGAGTAGTCACACAAAGCCAAGAGAATGCAGAGACAGACTAGCCCTCCATTTTCCAGCATCCTGCCTTTCAAGACTACCTGTAGCTTTAAGACTGTCTTTATTTCACTGTAACACTTACTAAGCCTTGTTTTACATGTGACACCTGTTCTGTTCCCTGAGGTCAAGTCAAGAATATAAAAAAGGCTCAAATAAAAATCAACCTAGAATACTCTCCATATTGGGAGTTTATTTTACATCTACCCTCTCCCCGTCTCCCTTCCTCTGCCACTTCTCCCATAAAGGTGTTTTTACGGTGACATAAAAGTTCTTTGTAAACTTTTTAAAAATGTAATAGTAGCCTCCATTTATCAAGCAAAGAGAAATGCTGCTCTGCAGGCCCCTTTTCTGCAGTTCTGCGCCCGAGCAGATATTGCTAATCAATTGTTGAACTCCTTCTTCCTAAGCCCATACATGGCCCTTTTCCAAATAGCTGCTACTAATGAATCTGAATTACCACAAAGGGTTTCTTTTTATGTATCTGCTCCCTGCCCTTCACAAATTTACACTCTAACCTGGACAACAAAGGAAGTGATGAGGGGAAGTCCCTGCAACATAGAATCAGAGTCTAGACCAACTAAGGCTATCTGATTATCACCGTTTGAGCTGCTGACACCTAGATAATCTGTTCCATATGAGGCACAGAACATAAAATGGTTTCTTATTCTCATGTGACCTCCATCCCTGTAACACTGTCCCCATCTCTGCAGGGTCCCCAGCACCAAGTCACAAGTGCAGGCCATGATAGGTAAGTCAGTGCAAAGTGGCTGCTGTGTGTACTCAAATGTTCTCTTTCTTGTCAGCCATCATCAAATATCGTGTCTGTGCCAATGGCAAGAAAGTGATATAAACTGAACAAATCCTCTATACCTATGGAGTAGGAAGGAAGGTTGTTTGTGTTGTTTATTTTTGAGACAGGGTCTTGTTCTACAGCCCATGCTGCCTTTGACCTTTGATCTGTCTGATTCTACTTGCCAAGTGCTGTCACAACGTATGTGCCCTGACACAAATGTTAACAAGGCTGGAATTGCATCTCTCAAGAATGATAAGAAAAAAGGCAGGAAGATTGCCATACATTTGAGGTCAACCTGGTCTACGTTCTATGCTAGCCAGGGCTACAAAAGTACCAAGCCAAACCAATCAAAATGAAAAAGCTAGAAGACACCAATCTTTTGGCCCTGTAACCACACTGCTAGGAAATCAATGAGCCCAGTAAAAAGTAACCGAAGTTAATGCATCCATATTCTGCTTATATATTTATAAAGATTTAGAAAGCTCTATTTATACTGGTAACTCAGTGTGTATGTATGCTATTAATGTTCCCAATTCAAAATACCACAGAGGCCATTCAGGGAAGTGATTAAATCAGGAATACAAGCAGCATACAATAGAAGACAGTTCAAGGAAGGTCCATAGCACACTAAAAAATACAGATAGGAAAACATGAAACGGGGCATCTTGTTTCACGTAAATTTGCCGTTGTGTGAAAATAAATCACATCTATTCCCACATACAAGTATTAGCAATTTACATACCTACAGATCTTGGGATCCTCTCTCCTCCTCCAATGGAGACTGAAAGTGAGCAATTAAAGGAGAGGTCATGAACTCCTTCCCTTTGTTGTTGTTGGTGATATCTGATTATTAATCTGTGGCATGTATCATTTCAACTTAAACAATAGTAAATGTTCATGGCTTGGTTGGTGTGGGCAGTGATTATCCTATATCTGTTAGTTTCTTGATGCCTCCTGAACACTGTACCATACGCATCCTGGTTACCCAAGGGGATTATGAGTTTCAAGTGATAGAGAAAGATATTGCTGAGAGAAATGAACAGAGCAGCCCACGGCTTTGCAAAAGCATCAGTGAAGGTAGCTGTGGTGGTAACTACATGTGATTCCAGCCCTTGGGGGGGGGGAGCAGTAAGATCAGGAGTTCTCCTTGGCTACCTAGTGAGTTCAAGGTCAACCTGGACTACAGGAGATTCTGTTCCCCCAAAGAAAAAGAAAATAAAAACCACCAACATGGCTTCAGAAAACTTGAACAAAACAAACCATATTTGAAGGAGAGAAGAACAAAACATAGGCAGGTCAGAAATACAGACATCCTGATGTGTGTCCCAAAGATACCACCCACCAATGTAGAAAGTCCCCTTCCTGGGCTTTGCTTCTGGGGTCATGGGACATTAATATTCTACTCACCATTGCTCTAGTCATCTTCTCCTCCATTTCTTTTTGACCTCAAGCATTTTATGCATAAATGTCACTGTTCTTTGCAATTAATCATGCCTACCACAGACTAATTGTGGACAACAGGCCTGCAATTAGACCAAATGCATTTCAAATATGCATGAACCTTCAGAAAGCACTTCCATTCCAGAATCTCGGGTACTGAAACAAGAGCAATTGTCTACTCTTCCCTAAGTCCCTTTCAAATTCAATGTGAACTAGCAAGATAATCAGATCATAGCTAATGGTGCCCATGCCCATGGTCTGCTAATAAGAAAGTGACATCTCAAAATGCTGTCTGTGAACTGTACAGAGTAGTATATTTGGGAACACTAACAGTGGTCCTAGAGGAAGCATGGGAATGGGCCTCACAAAGCTCATGAAACAAAGATGTCTTTGATTGAGAAGCACAATAATTCCCAGCAGAAATGAATAAAAGACTCAGAAATAGACACAGGGGGTCACATATAACACAAACTCTGCATATGCTCATAGCAATGTCACCTTAATGCCATCATCACCAGCAAATGAGCCTAGACAACAAGCTTGTCTCTCAATTTCGACTTAAGATATGAAAAGCAGGCATACACATGTATGTATGGGTATGTGTGCCTGCCTGTGTATGCACATGCAGAGTCTACAGGAGGGTGGTAGGTGTCCTCCTCTGTCACTCTCTGACTTCGTCCCTTCAGACAGGGTCTGCTGGTAAGGCCTAGCAATATTCCTGTCCCTACCCTCTCCCAGCCCTAGGGTTACAATGCTAGAATACACCCCTTGCTATTACACAAATACCGGAGACTTGAACTGAGGTCCTCATCCAGATGCCAGTCATACTCCTCCCTTACCACAACCAAAATATCTCCAGATGCTGCCAAAGTTCCCCTGGGGGAGTGTGGGACTATTGAGAACCACTGCTTTTAGTAGCCTCCTTTTCCTTTTTTTTAATCACACTCCCCCTCTACCTCTTCCTCTCTGCTCTCTGTGTGTGTGTGTGTGTGTGTGTGTGTGTGTGTGTGTGTGTGTGTGTGTGTGAGATGTGTGTGCATACACATGCACATGGACAAACATACACACTTAAGGAATTCCAAAGCCAATGTGGTCAATGACAGTGTCTTTCTTTAACCAGAATCTGCTGCTATTTTTGGAGACAGGGTCTCTCTGTAAAGCTGAACCTCATTGATTCAGCTAGACTGGCAATCCAGTGAACTTCAGGGCCCTTCTGCCTCTCCTTTCCCAGAGCTGGAGTTACAGGAATAGCTTTGTACATAGATTCTTGAGTTCTGGACTGAGTCATCTCAACTGCCCCAGGGATGATGCTAAAAGCCCACAAAGCACAAAGAAGTCCATGAACTACAAAGAATTTTCT